AGCCCTCAGCCAACTGTGGAGCAAGGATGTCAGTAAAAGTAAACCTAATCAAACCTAAGCTATCCAGTCTCAAACCTGAGACCTGTGGGAACCAGGGACGCAATCCCCCTAAACCAACGAAATGAACGTGAAATCCTGCAGGAAAACAAAGACAGGAACGCCAATACAGTTTTACCGAAACGAAGGTCCAACTGTAAGGAGACAACCGAAGTTATCAGAGGAGTCAGAGTATATTCCCGTGGGAAGCTCTTAGCAAAAGAAGGCGACCAGGCCCGTGGGCATGGAAGAAAGGGTGTCCGAAGGAGATTACCAGATTGCGTAAAGAAAGTAAAATATAAGGGGGCATACCCCCTTATATAGATAGGAAATCCTCCTTGATCACTAATATAAAAAAAAGTCCTTGGCATGGCACACAGCCGCGATTCTTCTGTCAGATTCCACCATATGCCGCCACTTAGTAATCGGTCCCAGTTCTATTACAAAGGAAATCCAATCATGCAACCAAGAAAACCTAACCCAATATATGCAATAAAAACCCCAATGCATATTCCGCCTCCATGGCCAGGTGGCTGTGACAACTTCCTCCATTGAACAACAACACCCAAATTATGGTTGTAGTTGATCGGTTCACCAAGCTGGCCCACTTTGTTCCACTACCGGGAACTGTAAGTGCTAAGGACCTGGCAACCGCATTCATACAAGAAGTTTGGAAGCTTCACGGGTTGCCTACTGAAATCGTTTCAGACATGGACGCCAAGTTTGCAGGAGAATTCTGGGAATCACTGTGTACTTTACTTGGTATAAAGAGAAGGATGTCAACCGCCTATCATCCACAAACCGACGGACAAACTGAAAGGACCAACCAAGTGCTGGAAGGTTATCTTCGAAGTTTCGTCAACTACAATCAGGACGATTGGTGTTCTCTACTCCCATTAGCTGAGTACGCTTACAACAACTAGGTAACTAAAGCGCACAGTTTAACCCCATTCTATGTAAACTATAGGTATCATCCACAAACAGAGTGGTTAAAAGAAAGAGCAGTACAAAATCCAGGAGCAACAACTTACGCCCACTGGATGAAGGAAATCTACCAACAAGCCTGAGAGACCTTACAACTTACTCGAGAGGCAATGAGCAAATACTACGACCTGAAAGTCAAACAACAACCAGACTTCAATGTCGGAGATCGAGTAATATTGAACACAAAAAATATTTGGACCCAGCATCCTTCGAAGAAGCTTAGCCCTAAGCTCTACGGACCTTTCCGAATACTCGAAAAACGAGGCGATCGAGCCTTCCAGTTGGAGATTTCCGAAAGGTGGAAAATCTACCCCATATTTCATGTGTCGCTACTCGAACCCTACAGAACATCGGTTCGACCAGAAAGGGAACAGAGGCCGCAGGCACCAGAGGAGATCGATGGTGATCTCAAATGGGAGGTAGAGAAAATCGTTAAAAGCAAGATTCTCTCCTATATGAAAAGAGTCTCCGGATGTAATACGCGTATCCGAGACCTCAAATATTTCATTAAGTAGAGAGGGTGTTCGGAGGATGAGAACACCTGGGAACCGCCGGAGCATCTTGAACATGCGGCCAACTTAGTAGAAGAGTTCTACAGAGATAACCTGGAAATCCCACGGCTGAAGTAGGATGGACAGGAAAGGTTTTCCTATGCGTGGACAAGTAAATACGTAAAGGTTTTTTACCCTACCTGAACTGAGTCCTAACTGGAAATAATTTCAAGTTAGACCTTACCTTGTACCTTAGTTAGAAATTAGATATAGAAAAGACTCGAGGACGAGGCTTAAAGAGGAGGGAGCTAATATTATACATAGAAGCATAATCAGTGCAGCAGGTGACTAAATGCATAAGGTCACGTGTTCGACTCCGGGCCCCGCCGTAGTTATCGTAACGATATCATATTATCGCACAAAATGATAAGGCATCTATACAGCCCACTCCGCGGAGATACGAGGCATGCGACTGAGGGGTTTTCGCTAGATAACATGGAAGGAGCTCCGCTCTATCAGATAAGACTTAGTTGGTTCAGATTGGTCGATTAGTTATGAAGCTATGACCTCTGCAAGTCTTTGTGCAGTTATGAGAAGTAACATGCATGCCCCTTTAGCTCGAGTAAACAGGACTCATCTGGAAGACCTGTTCACGATTGGTTAATAACAACTGCCAAGTCAAGTTCGTTATCTTCATCATGCACTCTAAGCTATGTTCATAGAAGAGTCATTAATAAGTCCTTTGATGGAGCTGATCACTCCACTAAGGAAGAGAGCAGGGAAGTTAGTTTTCAGGGTTAAAAGGTGTTCGCATTTCATGAACACTGAATCATTAGTATGGCAGGTACATAGTCAGTAAGGGATTGAATGTAGGCCGCGACCACCCAGACACGGAATATAAATATTGAGGTGCCTCCGTAGCTTTAAGTCTATCATCAGCGACTGGAGAAGAAATCTTATCAATATATTTGTTCTACTTTACTTCTATCTTTACGAGCCTTCTTGACTATCTCTGAGACAGAAGATTACAGGGTTTAGTGTACACTCGCTTGACTTTAGAGTTTCCTACCCCCTAACATACTCAGCCAGTATTCAATCCTACAGGAAGCACAATGCAGTGCAGGACTAAAACTGGTTTTTACATCCTATTCTTATAGTATGGACGTGGGGCTGGGACACCTAGGAATTACTGGCATTCAACATATAGAACTTAGGTACTTATAGTAAGAGAAGGATGAGAAAGATGGCTATGGCATGGATATCATATAATAGAAAGTTCTTGGAGTTATAATCCTCCATAGATAGCACAATATGGAAAGATTTGGAAGTCATAAAATAGAAATAAACTTGATTGAGATCTGATTCACAGTGGGAATAGAGTGGTGGTAAATACAAGCTTATACATGATACAGAGTTCTGACATTGGCAGAACCGAATTCTTAAACTAGTAGTGCAGTATCAGGAGTTCCCAGTATGGTGGTAGCTCTCAAGAAAGATATAGACCCAGTCCAAACACTAGAGAATAGGATGACATAAACCAGATGGGGGGATACCAGGTATCAAAACATAGTATTGCCATCCTGAGACAAGCAGATATACTGAATACATTACAACAGGATGGAGAAAGAAGGTATGGATACGAGCATCTGAAATAGAATGAAATGTAGGAGGTGAGTGGAGACAATGTCAGGATGGCCAGATGGGGGAGGCATTACAGATGATAGAATAAACCAGGAGTTGAAATGTAGGATGTAGCAGATGCAGCTGGCCATTGCAAGGCAAGACCAGATACACAGGATGCAGGCGATACAGGGGGAAAACACTATGCGTCCAGACATGGCACCTGTACATCTGATACAAGATTTATTTTTGCTGATATACCAACCCACCCGCCTCCAGAGAAGCTGCCAATCAAATATACTGGTCTAAAACCCCCTGTGTTAGACCATATTATCCCATTCTATTTGCCTCCAAATATGACAGCTTGGTTACAACTACTTGATGCTGAAATTATTCAATCCCTAAAGGCAGGCTACTGACAGCAATATGTTACCCATATAGTAGACTTCTTTGAAAGGACTAGAACAGCTACTCGAAAGCTAGATGTATTACAAGTTATTTATATGATATCTAAGGCATGCGAGAAACTGCCTACTAGTATTATTTTTCATTGTTGGCAAAAGGTGGGATTGGTGGAAGCCATTAACCGCAGTTTGCATGGCTCCTATACTGAGTATATAGAGCTTGAAAAGATTCAGCAAGCAACTCAGATATCTATCAGCTCTCTTCTCAACTTTAGCTGTAATAGTCAGTAGGTAGAGTAACTTGCCAACTCAATTTTGGATTATTATGATAATGCTCTAGACATTAATACAAGTCCAGATAGTATATCAACAACTGATATCATATATGACCTACATAGTCCAGGTCACAGTAGTAGCAGTGAGAGTGATTCCTCTTCTGACCACATTACCGGGAACAATTTACCTGAGATGATCTCTATCCCTCTTGTCAAGGCCCATATCAACAGCATTGTTACACTTCTTCAAAGGTTTCTTATCAATATATTTCCTGTCTTTGAATCCTTATTACAGATACCTATGGTAATCCACCAGCTTCATAAAATACACTAAGGCTTTCAGGAGCATGAAGTTAGGAACAAGAAACAAGTTAACCTTAATGATTGGCTTCAACTTGGTTACTTACAGCCAGCGAGTGCTAGCACAATTTCTCCTGAGTTAATCCCCGGGCTGTCAAGTACTACTAATCCATCCCCAATACCAGAACCTTCTTCTCAACTCCTCCACTTTTCCCCTATTGCCTCTGCTCTCATGCTAGACCCAACTCCTGACCATTCACAGAGTCTACAAGTGGCTGAGTCTCCTGGCCTACAGTTCCAGCCAGAACTTGGGGGGAATATCCTTCCTGGATGGATATGGGATAATGAGTAGAATTGTGATGCTGCATATCCTTAATTGGAGTACTCCCACTTGTCGATAAATGGAATAGTCTATAAAGCTCACTCCTTTTGTTCCTTATAGCCATTGAAATTTACATGTATTTTGATTTTTATACCCCTACATATTCACTATTTCCCGTTCACTACACTATAGGGTTTTTTTCCACTATAGCCAACACATTACTTGTGGGAACCTGTTTTTCCTTTGTGCCCCGTTTACTATAGCCAGGGATTCACACAACGAGGTTCACTATAGCCAGGTGCGACTGTATAACTAACTACAAGCCATATCCAAAGTGGTGGGAACCTTGGCACGGGTACATCACATGCACTAGCTTGCAGCAGAAGACAACAAAAAAAATTTGTGCCTCTCGGCAGTAGGTGTATCATAGCCTAGCTTCACGCAACTTAGACCACGGTACATGACCAATCGATCAATCAATCCGCAGGAGCTTTATTCCCTTCCCTTCCCTTCACTTTCCTTTCCTTTCCTTTGCACAAGTATATATATACACTTGGTATCATAGAAAATGTCACTCCCGCTATCTGGGCATTTAGTTATTGAATTTGCGGGATTGGCGCCCGGGTATAATAACCACACACACCCTTTCGCTTCATTCTTCCTCGCCATGCTAAAGAGAAAAGGTAAGGGGTAGTCCGTACACCGGCCACCTCCTACAAACCTACGGCGCCCGCGTCCTGCGCGTGGACCCGCACAGCGCCACTCCGATGGCCACGGTGGATGCGCTGGCCGAGAACAAGCGATCTGTAATACTCGATCTTAAGTCCGCTGCTGGACACGCGCTGCTGTTGCGGCTTCTGCCTAAGGCTACGATACTGATAGATCCCTACCGTCCGGGTGTGCTGGAAAAGTTAAATCTCTCCCCGGCCGCTGTGCACGCCCTGAATCCGAAGCTGGTGTACGCGCGCCTGACGGGCTTCCGGCGCGACGGGAGGTACGCGAGTATGGCTGGGCACGATATCAATTACCTGGCCGTCAGTGGGGCGCTAAGTCTCTTCGGGGGGAAGGGGGACGCGCCGGTGCCACCAGCGAATGTATTGGGGGATTTTGCCGGTGGGGGTCTAGTCTGTTTTTGCGGCATTTTGCTCGCCTTGCTGGATGGGAAGGAGGGGAGGGTTGTCGAGGCTAATATGGTGGATGGCACGGCGGGGCTGACCTCCTTCGCGCGCTTCGAGATGGCGAAGGGCGCAGGAGGTGCTTGGGGGAATGAGCGGGGAGGAAATTTGTTGGATGGGGGAGCGCCGTTTTATGATAGCTTTAGGACGAAGGACGGGAAGTATATGGCTGTGGGCGCGCTCGAGCAGAGATTCTACGAGGCCTTCGTGGAGGGGCTGTTCAGGGGAACCGGGTTGCATGGGAGGGTGCCGGATCGGAGGAATGCGGCGAATTGGCCGATCTTGAGGGAGTTGTTCGGGAAGAGGTTCCTTGAGAAGACTGGGCAGGAGTGGGAAGGGGTTTTTGACGGAACCGATGCGTGCGTTACGCCCGTGCTTGAACATCAGGACCTGATGGCGAGAGGGTTCGAGCAGCGGCCTATCGTCACGTTGAAGGGCACCGGGGTCGAGGGTTCAGGGTGGACGGGGAAGACGTTGAATCCCGGGGAAGGGGGGCGGGAGGCGTTGAGTGAGTGGTGGGGGTTGGAGGAGGGGATTGAGTGGAGGGTTAATGGAGAGGGGGTCTCAGAGGACGTGAGGGATAGGGCAAAATTGTAGAGCTCTTTATGTCAAACACGGCATGTGGGATATAGTCTGTTAGTATTAGCAGCACCTATGTATCTGAAGTTTGCACTGTATCATACTATCCTGTTGAAATTGTTAAAAGTGCATTGATGCCAATCAATGATTCAAGAACAGTAAACCCAGCACAGGAAAAAGAACCCCCATCGATCCCGCCTGCCTGCCCGCACGAAATGAAGAAACCTCCAAACCAGCCAGCCAGCGAAACCCAGAAAAAAACGCCTAAAGTAGAGAGCAAACAAAAGAGATCACGGTGGAGAAACAGACAAGAGTAACCATCAAGAACTCCTAGTAGTCCGTTTCTGAAGTACCTCCTCCTGACCGTCCGAGAACCTCCTCTTGAGGGTATATTCCGTCTTTGTAACCCCGTTGACCGTAACCGAGCGAGTAGTAGCCACAGAGGAAACCACTCCTATATTTTCTCGTCCACCAGAACTAACAACCGCTCCTCCCGTTTTATTCTCCGGCCTGGTCGACAGGGGAAGCAACTGTGCATACGCATCTAACTCTGTCTCTCCATCCACTTCCCCCTCCCCCTTCGCATCATCGTTCTTCCCCTCCCCACCCCCTTTCCCCTTCCCCTTCCCCCCGACGTCCGCTTCACCACCGCGACGCACGCCCCGCACCCAAACATCTCCGTACCCACTCCGTGGCCATAATATCTCCTCCGCCAGCTCACCCTTCAACCCCACCCCAGCGCTCTTGAAAAAGCAACCAAACACCTCCTCAGGATCCCGCAAGAAGAGCTGACGTTCTATAGCCTTCCACTCCTCATTGATGATTCTCTCGACCCTGCTATCCCCTCTCCCCACCACCGCGCGTTGCGGCTCCCCGCCGGAAGACGTGGTTGGCTGAGACAGCGTTGTGGTGGCATTAGGCGTATTATCCATGTCGGAGAGCGTGGGTGGCTGGAGTATGGTTGGCACCCCGATTAGCGAGCGAAGGGCGCTGGAGATTTGAGCGTTTGTATAGCGGCGGATGGACTCAAGGAGTGTGGGTTTGTCTGGTTCTGCCATGATAGCTCGTCCGTACGATTGCTTTACCTCGCTTTTGCTGGTGATTCCGACTGCGCTATTTTGCTTCCTTGTAGTTCGGTATCATAGGTTGGAGCGCTCTAGACGGGCGTAGTTGTTGAGGTGAAGACCTGGACAGGCCAAATCCAGGGAAAATATAAAGGGGAGGAAGGTTGGTGTGGCGGCAGCAGACATTCTATGGTAACAAGTCTCCTGTGCCGTATTTGGGGGCCATCCCTACCCCCCTCCACGTTGTTTCCACTCAACAACACCCGCCGTGTATGTTATGATCTAGTAACTGACTCAGGAGACACTGACCGAAACACACCAAAATTGGTGCTTTTTTTTTGTTTTTGTTTTTTTCACCCCTCGATCCAGCTATATTTAACAGGTTTTATTGAGAAATTGGAGAGAAAATGAAAAAGTATCCCAGTAGATTGCTCCAAGCTCCAGGATGTAGACTAACTCTTTCAGGGTTTTCTGCCCAACCGGGATAGGGTACTCGTATGATGAGCGATCAATGTTTTCTTGGCGGCATTCCATAGTAGTTCCTGCCAAGACAAGGGTTTGTTCCATATAAAAAAATACATTGCCAGGTGAATGTGTCTCTTCATATTCCCTACTTGCGGCATCGAGCAGTTGAAAAACGGTGGGCCTTCCCTGCAGCTCAACATTATGGTAGGGTTAGTGTACGGCACAATTATATTTTTACCAACGCTCACTCGAAAACCCCGTGTTTCCGATTTTCCTCTCTTTTGTCAACGGCCGTTTATTGTCGGTAACCAATGAGTGACATTCGCTTTGCCACGGCACTCCACACAGTACTCGTACAAGTACAGTACCGTACCGTACTCCGCTCAGGATCCCTGGCCTGTGCCGCGAGAAACTGTCCATGACTGGCAAGTGCCATGATAACCCGATTCCATCAGTGACTACCGTAACTGCTATCTTGGCGGGTCAGAATGGGATTTCCACCCCCCCACCAATCAAATCGTCCCTCCCCGCAATGACAGACAGATTGCGGTCGGAAGATACAGGTGCTGAGTGAGTAAGGACTCACGTCTCGCTCAGAATGTGAGTGCATATCCCGGAAGCTGTTTCCTTTGACTCCATTAAAGGCTTTGTCAATCGCGGTTGTGCATTGCGTGAGTGTGTCGCACAGTCTTGTCCCTATGATGCAAGTGCGGGGGTGCCGGATGGTGCCAGAGTGGGCGGACAGCACGACCTTCTGCATGCTCGGTGCACGAGTAACACCCCGAACTTCAATCACAACTTTATCGACCGTAGCAAAACTCCAACCCTAATACTGGCTGTGCACATATCCGAGCTCTCCTTCGCTGCAGGGCCAAGTTGACCACCAGCGAAAGAAATGCCGAAACAAAGGTGACAGAAGCAGTGACCCCCAAGTGTTTACATAATCAAACTGTCCGACAAGCCATGAGGGAAACTTCGGCGCACTCGCCGCCGCTAACCGTACCCAACAATTCATCTCCTACACACTATTACCGGCAGTCCAATTCGACCTTCAAGCGACCCGGCCTCGTAAAAGCTACGAGCACCTCTCATCTCCAATGCTAGGTCTTTCACCCACTGTTACCCGAAGCAGAATCAGTACCACGGTGTCGGGACCTATTCTACTCCAACCTCGTACATTCCGCTACCGCGGATACTAGTCGATGCCCTGTATTTCCTCCTGGAGGGACCTGAAGGGGTAGGATGTAGCCGGCATCGCGGTCATCAAGGCTATCGACGGCACACTGAGGAAGCGCTGTTGGGTAACGCTGCCCGGTAGCGTGTTTTGCCTTGTGCTGCAACAACGGCTTGCCGATATTGATTAGATCCGCAATGCAAATGGCTCCGGTCCATGTGCCTCCACCAGTAGGCAGCATTGATAGTTAAAATCACGCTTGATGCTGCTCATAAACTCGCCAATAGGTCGTTTCCCGGCATGATCGTGGGTAAACCCCACGGGATAGCATTGCAGCACGAGTCCATGCATCTGGGCAGTACCGGTACAGCCTTGACTGCGCCGGGTCGGCGAGGAGAAGGGGTTCCACCCTCAAACCGCCCGAGTTTCGCTCTCACCGAGATTCTTGGCCAGCCCCAATAGTCAAGTGTCGGGTTTCCTAATTCCTCGTGTGCCTCGTGGCTGATTCCTGTCGGTGGTTGATGAACCCGGGCGGAAGTCAAATCGTGTTATACTCATTTCCGCACCCGGGTAAGCAAGGAGTATACGTTTCCGAGAATGATAAATGGTGACGGTGCGAATATCATATCATACGCGAGCTGCATACTGTAGGCATACCCTAATACCCTTATACCCCGACAAGGGTGCACGAACTTGACAAACTCGGTGCCGGTGCCCCCCTGCCACTGGAACTTGGGAAGATCATGCCCCGCTAGCGAAGGAAGTGACATGATATTCGAAAGGCAACAGTTCAAGGGTAGGTGTCTGACTACCGGGGAAGTCATGCCAAAAAGGGAATTGCGTTGCTTATAAAGGCACTCGCTGTCGGGGCGCTCCCGGACCGCAAAGGACATGACCCGAACACTGCCCTTCCCGGACACTAGAATCGGTGTCCCTTCCCTGAGGGCTTTACTAGATTACGCTGTATCCTGGCTGTTGGAATCGCTGAGATTGCAGTTTTACTGATGGAAAACGTCAATATTTGTATGAGCATCTGTGACAGCGGTGGGCGTGCGCAGCTTTCTTGGGCTGCTGAGAGAGGACATCACGAAACGGCGGAGTGACTGCCCAACTAGAAAGACGTCAGCGCTGCCTTGCCGGATGTAGATGGCGGGGATGCACCGCTTTTTCGGACTGGGCATGGACATGAGTTGGTAACAAAGTTTCTGCTAAATTGAGACAATGTCAGTCCCGGTAGAACAGATATTTATGGCCAAAACACCACTACCTCAGGTAGTATCGGGGGGGATTGGAGGTGGTGGAAGCGCAATGGGGCTGCCCTGATACCAGCTCAAACCTACCAGATGCCCGCGGCCGTAGGTAGCCAGGCATGGCCGCTAGGTATGGACGCAAGACAATCCTTAAGATGCTACCACACTAGGCCGAGCCGATGTCGGCCTCAATTCGGTCGATGTTTCGGACCGAACGGCCCTGCCCCGGGCTACTTAATATGGACATAACGGGATTGCTATTATTATTATATATCATCAAGCTTATGGAGCCTAATGGCTATAAAGTTGCCTAAGGCCGTGCGTGATGGCAGAGGCTCAGTCGTTTGCCAGGTATTCCTTCCTATGAGCCCTACCGACCTCTGGATACATACCCCAGTACAGGTGCCTGCAGGGGTGTTGCATCTTCAACTACCGGCATTCCCCATACTTTCATCCTCTAGCTCTCCCCCGGGTTCTTTTTCTACACCTTCCCCAGCACTTCTTCGGTCTCTCTCACCCATCCACAGTTGGGGACGCCTCCTAACCCGAAGAAAGGCGTGTCAAGACGCATCTTTTCGATACCAGGCTTTGCGTGGTCCAGGACCTCTTGGCTTCCCCTGAGGTAAAATGGTTAGGCCCTCCGGGTCGCTGCGACAGCTCGAAGAGGCCCGGAAAACGAGTGACCAAACGCCTCACCTCGGTCCTGGTGCGAGAGAATAAAAAGCACTCATAATCCAGAGAACCCTCTTCGTCGGCGCCATTATTACTCTCTGGCAAACGCCCCCCCGGCAGCGGGCGGGGTTGCAGGGTCAGAATCCCATCGATCAGGACAACCCCTCCCCTTTACGACTCTCATCCTATATGTACTAGGTGATTCCCTACGTACGCACTCTCGCCATCACGCTCGGCCCCACCATCCCAGGGTTCGAGTGAAGCTCGTCTTCTAGGAAGGTTTGCCTAGCGCACTACACGTCAAATGAGGCCGGTATCATGCGCATCCGTCCTGTCAAGCGCCCTCGCGCACATGGATCTTAGTCCTTGGTGCAACACAAGGGGAATCTAGCCTCAGTATGATACTCGTAGTTTTTAATTCATCGTTTTGCCGTAGGATATATGTTGCACCACATCACCTGCGGCCGATCGTACCTTCCATGCTCCTATCCTACTAGACCAATCAGCCACTAAGAAAACCACCAGGCAGTCCAGTGCTCCTAAGCGTCCAGTTCGCCCGTCCTTGGCATCGGATGGAACGGACGCCGGTTTCTGGAACTCTGCCCTGGACGGACGCCCGTCCTGTGGTCCTCCCTAACCTCTGCCCGGGGCGGCCGGCCGGGCCCTATAGTTGTCTCACCTGCATGATCCATTCCCAATATAGTAAGTTTGCGGTCACAACGAAACCAAATTTCTATATTTAAGTAACAGTAACTTGGTACCCTCCCCTCCCGGCCGGCATTGCTGCAAATGGCCCTGCAAATGATGGCCGGAAGATGCCATTTGTACTAAGACTCCCGGGCCCGGGTGTCAACCCCTAAGACAGCGGTCTTTATCAAAGGTGGACACCATGCCCTGCCGTCCTTAGTACTCCTTACCCACCCTGCCCGGGACGGTTGGGAACACTGCCAGGCACTGCCATTCACCCACCCGCCAGCTTTGGACACGCTCACCCTTGCTGCTTACCCAGACACGGGGGACCTGCATTCCAAGCGGGTAGCGGCCCTATCGGTTAGTTATCAGAGAACCACACATTGTTTCTATTCCCCCCGGTAGACGTCGGATCGCTCCATGCCATCCTCTCTATGGGCTTTCGCTTTCTTCCCTCTCCTCCTCTCCCACCCACTCTGCTTTCTTTTTCTCTCCCCTTCTCTTGGCGTTCTCACGGCACTGGGGGGATCTCTAGTAACTCGTGCTATAAATACAAACATTGCGGAGGGTCATTTCTTCCGAGGGAGATAGCAGAATAGAAATGGTTGAGCTAAGAAGTCTTGCTTTTCAAAGTAGAGCAGTGAGATCAGTCACTGAAAGGTCTTTCGAAAGCAATGCAGTCGAAGCACATGGGCACTATAAATATAGAATCTTCCCGGCAATGCTATCCTCAACATTGTCTACGCCATGCAGAGCACCAGAAACCAGGTGTCCGGATACTCTACAATATAGTGCCGCTTGTACCTCTAGATGTGCAGAGAATAAGATTCCGATACCTTCCCCCGATTGCCTCATCACTCACTACAACGCCTAAAACAAAGTATAGGACCCAAAATATTGATCCCGACATCCCAAAGCAATCAAAGTCACCCCGAAAGAGAGGGCTCAGAGAACATGAGTCCGCAAGTCCGCTCCCGCACTGAGGTGATGTCGATCCAGACAGTGCAGATCATCCCGGGCAGATAGTCTACACAACCACCCTGATCTACCGCAGGGGGGGGAGGGGAACAAATCCGACAGAGCAGCACTCAATCCGGACCCGCCATTTCCACGAGCAGGGCAAATGACCGAACCCTCGAGGGGTGATCACAATTCACACTCTTCTTCCTCCACCGGGGAAAAAAAATGATATGGAGTAGAATAGAATAGAGACAGACGGAGAAATCACCACTGACAGACAGACAAAAAAAAAAGAGCTCGGAAATATAGTACAGTACAGTACAGTATATACCACTCCATAACCACATTAATTATTTCCCGCTGGGAATGGTAGTAAACCATAGGAAGCTTCTACCATCCATCGGAAATATCCTCTGGGTTCCCCCTCACGACAACATGCTTGGTAACGCATTATCATACACCTTCCCCCCTGCCCCTCCCCAAAAAAACCCCCCTTAGAATTCCCATCATGTATTATCACTCGCTAGATCAGGTGCGTAATGTATGATATCATACAGTAGATAGATCTGTAATGATAAGGTATGTTATATATATATATATTACCGGAGAGCAGGACGGGGACGTCCGTTCGAGTTCACTCGATGGTATGGCAATTATGATATCGAGCGGGTGGTCCCTACTACTGTAAAATTTGCGAAAAGCAACCGGTTCAAGTACAGTACGGTGCATCGGAAAAAAAGAAGAAAAAAAAAAAGTAACCGGTAAAGTATAGTATTTTTATTATTTATTTTTTTCTCTTTTGGGTTTTGTGGTCTGTTCGTGCCATCTATACGATACGATAGGATACAATGCTAGGAGTAAAAAATACTGGAAAAAATTGGAAAAAGTTTGGGAATCGGTGGTGAGAGGCGTCTCACCCTTCCCAAACGGTCTATGGGAGTTGATGTACATTATATTCCTACCACTAGACTAAAGCACGATATGATATGACGTGTGGTGCTCGAATGTCACAGTGGCGGACCTCCTTCGTTCGCAGCTCGAATTAATTAATTGCGAATGGGTATGTCGCGACTGACTGACGGGGTTGGGTTCGTTTCGCGCCAAATAATGATGATGATAATGATTCAAGTATTGATTGATAATTTAGGATTGGTCGGGTGGATGGACCGGGGTTGGGATTATGAGAAATCCTCTCCAAAATAATAATAATAATGATAATTTTATGATAATTATTATAATAATTGCCAATTTCACACTGTAGGTTAAATAGGTATGGTATGATATCTAGTATCATACTATACTATATATACTGTACACCCCACTTTACTTCCAAGGCCCTTTCCCTCCCTGCGCTAGAGAAGAAAAAAATATATATGATATATAAAAAATAAAAAATAAAAAATAGTGCTGTATCAAACCACAATAATTAATTAGCAGTTTTTTACCTCCCGGCTTTCCCGAAAGCCAGGTATATGATATGGGCACGTTGGATTGGAATCCACCGTGGGATTATTATTATTCCAATTATTATTATTGCCCCTTACTGGAGTTTTTTTTCGGAATAATTCGCTTTGCATTTTCGCTTCCTCCCTCCCTTCCTTTCCAAGATACTTTAATACGGCGTTTTTGCTTACTGTGCTAGGATTTCAAAGAAAACTCCCCCCCCTCCCCTCGCCCGGGTTCGATCTAACGAAAGCCTTCTTCCGCAACAGCGTACTTGTACTATACTATACTATAACTCGCACAATCACCAAACGAGATGGGGGGACAAAGTATGACCCTATGATACCAACAGTGGAATATCGACATTGTGCTTATATACCACGGGAAATACAATCACGTGACATGCCAAAGTCCAGATACCGGTATCAGAACAGTCGGGCAAACCAAAATTGCGCCATCAGGATCGACGACAAGAAAAAAAAATTCAGTCTTGGCTGGAGCCCACCTCCTTTCACTTCCCTGCCTTGGCTGGCTTGTTGAGTGTGTTGTCTGCCTACGGTACCACCGCACCTCACGGGCAGGGACGGCCCCACCAACCAGATTTTGGGGAAAAAAAGGAAAAAGGGAAAAGAGGGAAAAAAAAAAAAAGTGCCGACCCCCCCCCCCCCACACTGAGACAGGGCGGGCAACAAACATTCTGGATCGTTCCGGATTTCTGCACTTTTCCTACGATAGCGTGGAGTACTCGAGTAATGCTTTTGAAAATTGTGACCTTGACTACAGCAATTTTTAGGTGGGCTAGTTGCCGTACAGTACTAGCTCGCAGTAATGGAAATGGCATCCACAATAATAAAAGGTTACAGGGAGATCGGAGGAAAAAAAAAGAAAAAAAAGAAAAAAAAGCCAAATTCGCCAGCTAATGTTGGAATTGAAGAAATTATTTTCGTGCGTAAAAAAAACCATGATAGAAAAGCACTTGGTTTTCCCCACCCACCAATCAATCAATAAAACTACGGTAAATGGATCGGAGTAGAATAGTGCAAACCCAAACCACTATCACTCGCAATCCTGGCAGCAAAAAAAAGATTAGGGACACCTTTTTTCCCCTTAAAAGTCTCGCAAAACGGGCTTGACCCCACCCTTCCAATCGTCCCGTTCGTAGTAACGAAACACCAGATCGTATCCGTCAAGGTCATGGCGGATCTTGTCCACACGTCTATACCCCTTAATGCAATCCATGCGTGCAGATCTCTTGGCTGCAGTCACATCGTAAATATTCTCGCGAGCCCCACGATCTGCCATGGCGGGCTTCGCCTCAAAGAGGGTGACCGAGAATCTGCCCGGGCGAAAGATACCGACAACGTGTTCCAGGACTTCGGCTGTCTCCCGCCCAGACTGACGACCCGGGACGTTGGTCTCGAAGGAGGCGTACGAACAGTGGGGCTCGGGGGTGACATGCACAGTAAAGTAGTGTGTGGTGGGGATCTTCGGGTCGGGTGAGGGGATAATGGCATTGGCCGAGAATCCGCAAGGTGTAAACAGGTAAGAGTCCACCATAGCACCCGGATACGCGGAGCGGGGATAAACCCCATCCAACCCACAAGCCTCCGAAACAATTGATCCGAGAACATGCCCCTCGCTAGTGAGTTCCTCGGGCAAGTCGTCGGAGCCAATGCTCTCCTCCGCCGAGACTGGCTCCCTGGACCTCTCCTCGTCCTTTTGGCGTCTGTACTGGCTAGCCGCGACCGCACTCGCGCTTTCCAAGTAGAATTGCTTCGCCTTGTCCTGGTCCAGATCGGTCATCAAAACCTCCAAAGTCTCGTCAAAAATGCCATTGCCACTTCCGCCATCACGCCCACCACCAATGTTCTTATAGACCATGTTCTGGGCTTCGGGGAAGGTGATGGGCTGAGTTTCCGTCTCGTGCCTCTCGAGCGGGTTGGCCGGCTCGTTGGTGGGGGTGAGGGGCGGGGAGAGCATGCTCCCGGGGTTGGTCAGGTAAAGATACCAGTGCTCTCCGTTCATTTTCCCCACCATGTATGCGCTCCCATTAAGGAACCACTCGTCCAGGTATCCAACCTCGTCTCTCCAGCTCTTGTGTGGATGCATCTGCTTGTCAGGAAACATAAAGGACTTCCTAGAATAGAAAACCCTGTATGGGGTAGCTATGGCACCACCGCCAGGCCCGAACCCGGCTTCCTTACTTGCGATGCGTAGCATCTCGGGGAGGCCATTGAGCAGTGTAGTAGTCCCGCAGGTCTTGAGGATAACCTTGTGAGGGAAGACGAACATACTGCTCTCACTCAGGAGGTACGCATCCACATGCTCGTTCTTCAGAACGGATAGAACCTTGCACTTCACAATATCGAGCATCTGCTCCCATCTCTCCTTGGAAACGCATTTGAGGCCCTCGGGCGATGCAGACGGAGGGAGCAATTCCGGAGAGGGGGTGAACCAAACTTCGAGGAGCTTTTCCGGTCCTGTTACACAAACATAAGCACGGTTACACAGGGGTAATACGGGTTGTGTTACCTTCGAAAGCATTGGAAGAGTCGAGATCGATGGTAGCTTGATGGTTGATAGAAAGTGTAGTTCCTTGGGATTTGTTAAGCGCTGTGTTAACAGCGGCCAAATCGAGAGCGACCATTTCAAGATGCAGCAGCGGACAGACGATAGTAATAGCTAGGCTTTTTTTTTTTCTCTCGACGCACGGTTTGTAGTCCTTTTTTAAATCAGCTAGACAATGCGGTGCCTACCCGATTATGGAGGACGAAGACACAAAAGACGAGGGAATCGAGGAGTCAAACGGCGAGCCGTGCTGGCAGAGGAGACTTTGGAGGAGATTGTCGGTGGATTGCGTGGATCAATTGTGCAGGTGGAGGGCTATCCGCCCCGTCGTCAAGATACCGATACCGTGCAGGATACCGGTTCAGCAGACGAGGAGGTGTGAGTTGTTTTCGTAGGCCGGAGAGTGGTTTTCAGGGTGGAGCTGGTCGGACTGGTTGCAAATGGATTATCGGGGGCCGTGTTATCTGGGCCTGGGTTTCAAGAGGGCAAACGTTAACAACGTCATACATCATGGAAATTGGCTTTCAATTAGAAAAGACAATGAAATTGAAAACTCTTCCTTCCCCCACTTTCACCGAATAATAAAGAGCAGACAGGCAGGCAGGAAGGCTGATCCGAATGAACTCACTTCTTTCGCAGAGACAAGAAACGGAGCAGATCCTTTCGGCTCATAAGAATGAGTGGAAGGTGCTCGAAAGGTTTCAGGATTTGGCTATCTACAGCCTAAAAACGGAGACCAGAGTGTTCGCCAGAACTGTGGACGAACAAACTTGACTTCCGTGAACTAATATCTTGCGTGGGGACAGCGATTGAGTCGGTGGACGACAGCTTTGCGGTTGCTCCAGGCGTTACGATGGTGGGGGCAGTCACGAAGACAGATTGCGGAAGCAGGTGGAAACTTTTAGAGTGGAAACGAAAGTTGTCGGGGGGGGGGCAGGTACGGGAGCCAAACCGACGGAACAGGCGGGGTGTTTAAATCGCCGGTGGTGGATAGACTAGATGTGAAAGGGTTCAGGGAAGGAAGCGGAGAGGAGCAGTGTGGGCGGGCAAGTGCTTTTATGGAGGCGGCGGGACGAAGCCCTTTCCTGAAGACTCCCCCGGATTGTGGGAGAAAGTGGGGCAAACGAGACAAGTTCCTCTTTTTTCCTTTTTTTTTCTCTCCTTTCTCTCCCCTCTTCTCACTCGATTTTGCTCGTGTATGTCTGGATTGACAGCAGAGGGGAGTATTCCTTTCTTTTTCCTCTCTCTCTTTTTTCTGCTCCTCCTCTGGGTGGGGGGGGGGGGGGGCAAAGGGAAGGGTTGGAGGGGCGTAGAAGGAAAAAGCAAGCAAGATACCGCTGCCCCGGGGTGGTAACATCCAGGCGGCAGAGGAAAAAAAAGGGTTCGCTTTTTTTTTTTCTCCGTTACCATTACGGTACTGCCATCGTTACAACACCCGTGGGTGCTCTTTCCACAAGAAAAAAACTCGAGACTGCACCGAACCACCAACGACTCAGCATACCATAGAGAGCTGGAAAGATGACACAAATACGGCAAATTCAACGACAGGTGAGAAATTAAGGATGTCGTAGTCAGTGTACCACGCGTAGGGCCACCCTTTTCTAGCAGTTAGTACCGGAACGGCTTCTCCTCCCTTATAGAATGACGGAAGGGATGGGCGAAGGTGATTGTATGAGTACCGTACAGCACCTTTCTCCTATCATAGCTCTCCCGGAGGGAAGGGTCAGAAAGGGTCTCCCCCCCATCTGGATCCGCGAATCTGAATGACGATCTTTCCATCCGTGTCTGAGTTGCCCTCCTCCTCTCCTCCTCCACCTCCTGGCCTCTCCCGGCCCGGGGTCGTACCCGTGCCTTGGACCCTTCTCCCTTCCTTACCCTGTCTCCTGCTAGGCCGAGCCGTAAGTACTCGAGCACGCCGTGGGAGCCATGTGCTAGCACCGGTATGGCAGTCCACCGGTACAGGCACAGTACACGGCACTTAGGGTGCCTGTATCCTAATAGCTGCCAACACTTGCTGTGCTGGTCTTCCACCGTATATATAGGGGAACCCCCGATCACATCGCCCAATACAAATACCTTACGCTGGGACAGGATATTCGACCAACTGGCACAGTGTATACCGGCATGAGAGCACACCTCCACATTCATCAGCCAGCACGATGCCTGCTCCTCCGGCCAGAGGTACATTAAGTTGCTGTGCACACCACCAACCATGGGTGTGCGGGTCAAGCTTGCCTACTCGTAGAGGGACTGCACTATGCCAGGAATTGTGATGTCCAACCTAACCACGGTATGGTATGGTGGCCATGGCAACCTGATCTCTCTCTCCTGCCCATCATCAACCCCTAGGGTGATATTATCCTCCTATGCGCTCAAAATCACGTAGGAAAGCAATTCTGCGCGGTTTTATTTTTGTTTTCGTCAACACCTCTCTCTTTTTTTCCTCCCCCCTTTACGAGTAGTCTACCCTCCCTCTCTCCTCTCTCCCTAATTAGCGGACATCACATCACACATCGAATCCCTCGACTATCCCCCCCTCCCCTCCTACCATACCGCACTGCCACGGTACCGTACTGGTGCTCTCCTGTCCATCCCGTCCCTGTAAAATGTAGGGTAAGGTTGCAGTGGGAAGCTAGCTAACCAACCAAGCAAGTGCAACGCAGAAGATGATAACCCTCCGATCTTGTCATCCCTCGAGATCAGAGTTTCGAGATGCCGCTCGCAGCGTGCGTCAGTAAAAAATAAACAAAATAAAATCTCTACTCCCCTACGGTACCCCAAAACGTTTGGTCAGGGTGATTCCCGATTCCCTGCAATCGCGCGGTACAGTGAGCAAGGTAAGGCAACACAAAACCAAACCGTCCACCCGTCGGCGCAGACCACTTTAAATGTTGCAAAGCAGGCTGGGTATGGGAGACAACGGAGCAGCTACGGCAGCGGAAGATAGCCAAATCATGGCTGGCATCAAGGGATGATGCGAGAAGGTGAGAAGGCTTCGTCACCCTTTGTTCAATGAAGACCAGGGGCCATGAGAATTGTGGCCCCAGGTTGTGGCTTGCGTGCGGGAATCGATTTCAACGAGGGTGTGAAAAGGCGCGACAAACTCGCCCTTTTCACCCTCCCGCACCGTGAGCTAAACGCGAGGGAAAAAGGCGATAGCGATGCCTGCTGCATCCTAATTATGCTGGCTGTTGGAAATCCGTAGTGCATTTCACATTATCATACAGAGACAGGTTTTTTCTTCCATTTCTCCCCACTTGATTTCTAGCTCATCAATCAATCAATCAATCAAACAGATAGACAGACAAACAGGATTCGCTCCAGCCTTTATAAACCACTCTCTCCTATTGGACAAGGGCACGCGTATTTCGAGCCGAGAACAGCCGTTTGTTTAAACCACCCTCCTTCGGCCTCCCCATCGGAGGGCACGACAGACGAATGCGCTATGATGTGAAAATGGTTATCGTGGTACTATATCAAACTCGTGCTATTATAACAAAAAGGGGGAGCACACCCGCTCTCCACCGTACTCGTACAATCAAGGAAAGATCAACCTCACAGTCACGCAGTCGTGGTGCCGAGTTTCGCTACTGCGGCCATGGCACGATGAACCGGCTGGCGAGCCTCCAATTCGACGCCCTGGGAGCAGCAGCAACGAGGCGGTGGGAAACAGGGCACCGAGCGGACAGTGCTCAGGCGAATGATGGGTGGAGAAAAAATCTCTTTCCTCCTCTCCATTCGTTGCTGCACCCATTCTGCAGATGAACGGGCGAAACCGAACGACCGTACCGGCGAGAAAGAATAAAAATAAGATTGAAAGAAAATTACGGCCATTTCATTCGGGGAGCCCACCAGCACACGTGCCCAACTCGAGCACTGACATTATGTGGTCCTTCCAACTCGTCGAGTTACCGTGAAAAGATTTCGATGCCATAATGCGCCTTGGATCAACTCCCGTGAGAGAGCGGAATCAGAGCAAAAGCAAAACGAAACCACTGGAGTTTTTTACTTTTTTTTTTTTTTTTGCTCCGCTTGCCGTAGGGTACGGACAGTCCCGTCGAATATGATACCTCTCGCGCGGACAGCTTTGCCCATCATATCGAAGTCTACACCGAGAGAAGAGTGCGGTAGATGCGGGAGTGAGGAACGGAGGAACAAGGCCGCGAAACATAATGAAATATCGTAAAAAAACCCATGCTCACTCACTCACGACAAACTCTTTCCGATCCCGATTTTCCTTTATTTTATTTATCATCATCATGAATCGCAACTCCTCCTTCTCCATATTACAATATAAAATAGAATACTATGATAAACACAATTCTTCTTCCGGGGGATCCTGCCTTCTCCTTTCCTTCCTCCCTCCCCCGTCCTTCGCTCATCCATCCCGCCATCGCATCGCAGCCCTACCCCAACCGTCTGCCATGCTCGCGCTGCTCGCGCAACGTATGTATCCCCAAGCCCACTACCGTACCGTAGAGAAGACTGCAGCAACCTACGGTACACAAATTCCCTCATGAGCCTCAAACCGAATCCGTCCGTCCCTACATATCCTTTAATACCACCGCTATCGGTACCGGTAAAAGACTTACCTTTCCCATGCTGCTGGCTGTCAGGTCCAATGAGACGCTGCATGACGCGTGGTGGTGCTAAAATTCAAAATTTAAAAATCTGACCAAAAGGGAAAGAGAAAAAAAGAGAGGAGGAGAGAGAGACACCCATCACCCTGGTACCGTACTCGAGTACCCCTTCTGGGATGAGACAGGTAAAATGAATGGATGGATGGATCGGCGAATCAGAAAGGGTTGGAAACCCGTGGAGAGCTATTTATTGCCCCAGGTTGTAACTGGAGGGCCAACATTGTGATTGAATTTTAGTGTATACTGGTATGATACTGCAGTATTATGTAGACTAGCTGTCACATGGGTTTTTACTTGGTAGAGCGGTCCACGGTACTAGTGAAGTACGGTAGAGTACCGGCAGTGCATCTATAGCATAACAGTGCGGTCTGAACGATACCGCCCAGCGACACGCACAGCTGCCGATATCAGTTCCAGTGGAACCAAGCGGCTACATCGGATTTCATGGTAATAGGCAGGGTCCGCGTCTAAACTGCCCTGGGCAGCAGGAAAAGAGAGGGGGGAGAGAAAAGCAAAAAAAGAAAAAAAGAAAAAATGCAACAAAAAAAGAGCAGATACGAAGCGGCGGAGCAGTGACGTCCCGGGGATTGTAGGGGTACGAGTAAATTTTCGGCGATACTCGTGGGTCAGGGTGTTTTTTTAGACTATATTGTCCTGTGTGGAAATGCTCGTGTAATGTTAGTACAGGCATCTGGTAGTACAGCAGGGGAGGATTAAAACTCGTTTATCTTGGTACAAGTACGGTACATGTCTCATACCGTAGACTACCGGTAAGTTAATATGTGTGTGTGTGATAGGCAACTATGCGGTAGTCTGCGGGACTGTTCCGGACGATGTGGGGGTAGGTCATGGATGGGCACTCGCTATCTGCCTTTGATCGGAGGATCCTTACCCACATCCACGGCTGGCGGTTTTTCACTTGATGATGGTACGAGCAGTTTGGAGATTGTCTGCATATATATATTCTTTTCTGTGCTCCACCCGTGTGTGTACTGAACTTGCACAGTATGGGTCCCATGTACTGGATTCTCCTTCCAATCCCTCCAAGTTGGCGCACCATGCTAGGATCCAGTATGATACCCAGCCCACTAAAGATCCGATAACGATAACAGCTAAAGCACGGACCTCCTGGATCCCTCCACAGGTTCATCTGCACATTCCCGATCAAACCCCCACCGCTAAACCTCTCCCTTCTCGCCCTCCATCCCCTTCCTTCTCTCCCCTCGAATCCATGAACGCTTCCCGGAATTTTTCCGCCACGGCTGTGATCCTCTCGTCCGCACTCACCCCTCCGAACGGCCGATCCGAGATTTCCACCATTGCTCCAAGGATAATGAGTGATCCGAAGCTATTTTTCTTCGTCAGTACCCTCACCTCCGGGGAGAAATAGGGGGTGAGCTAACAAGCCTAGGAATGCAAGAGCAACACCGGCCCTTTGTAACCTACAGGCCGTTCCAAACCTCCATGCTTCGTTTCCTGTGCTCATCACCGAAGAATCGGGAGAGGCGGATAAACATCCGACCTGCCTTTTTGCGATCCTAACACCGCTAAGCACCGCAGCTATCCACAAGATCGTGCTGGAAAGGGATAGCAAGAATGCCAACAGCTTTCCCGAAGGACGTAACGGCGTGGATTTGTTCGTGCGTGCAAGGAACCATATCACCAAAAAGAAGGCTGTGAGGACGCTCTATTTGGTGTTAGCTGCCGCCCTTCGAGGAAGATGGGAAAAGTGGAAGCACAGTGGTCAATGACAACGCACAGTTTATGCGAAGCGAAGAGTCTAGTTGTCCGACCGTGCTCAGCAGATATATCTGTGAGCCGAGGACGTAGAGGGACGTAGGGATTAGGAGGGATATGCAGAGCTTTACCACTGCGAAGAGCATTTTGGCTTTTTTTGGTCCGCCGAGAGTTATGTGAGGTGCTGAGAGTCGGTCAAGTCAATAAACTCTCTCGCACTGCTCACCGCGGGGGCCTGGTTATTAGGAGTAGGATTGTCACGGTGGCTGGATGGAACGAGCAATTTTTCGATTTCATGGTGGCTGGGAAAGGGACCGCTAACAAAGGATGTAGTACATCCGATCATTGACTTTTCCTGTCTTCCTAATATCCTTCAGGGTCGGGATAATCCAACCCCCCTCGTTCTGTCAGCATATCATACCAAACATCTACAATCACCTGTGGTGTCTGATCCACTTTACATTCCAAACACCGAAAGCACATGAGACACGATCAAGGCTGAAAGCAACTTTCAAAGACATTCTCGCTGGCTAATAATTCAATTTTTCGGGGCATACCATCAGGGTCCAGTGAGAAATTCCATTCACAACCGGATATAGGCCAAACCCACATGCCGCCCAGCACTCTAACATCCCCCTAGAGTAAGCTTATCTTAACTTGAGTGTTCCCGGCTAGGAAAGTGAGTGTTGCAACCGCTGCTGTATCTCGCCTATGCCAAAGCAGATCCTATCATTCTACAGCACCGGGCAGTACTGTACAATGCTGTTTACGAATTTCGCGCCGGCCCCGCTTACCGTACAGACGAGCTAAGGCATGGGCCAGCTTGGTCTGTACTCTGAATGCAGAACTGAGCTGCATTACAGACTGCGAACAAAAAAAGTGAGAACGCACCTCAGCTAAGTATCGCGGAGTGGGAAATTTTTTTATATCATACTGACTGGTCATAATTGTTGTAGGTAAGCTGCGTTTACAAGCGCTGTACAAAAATAAATGGGGTAAATGGGGGGAGGGGGAAGAGATAGAATACAGGTTAATTTTCTCTTCTCTTCTCTCCTCTTCTACTTTTCTGAGCGCTCAATTGAGACATTTCCCCCGCTGTACTCCTGGTCAAAGGTTTCTGGCATGCATATCGTACGCCTGCTCCCGTCTTGTTATTGTGGCCGTTCAGGCAGGCTGCCAGGGGTGTCGGTTTCTCTTCTGGGGTAAAAGATATGACAGCTGTTCATTCGTTCCTCCCTCCCGTATTTTAGGAGAAGAAGCAGAAATTGAAACAACCTCCTCTCCTTATGATCGCACACCGAAAATGAACCAACGGGAGAAAACAGCAACAGCTACCCCCCCTCAGTCCACCACAATTCCCGCAGGGAGCCTTATTATGGAGAACGTAAGTCACCGTGTGACTTGTGTCGGAATGCCACTCCGGTGCATGGATAACATCCCAGGCGAAGAGCACATCTCCTTAGAAACGGCCGACCACAGCGAGTGCCCACAATGATATATATTTATATCTATACCACCCACCGAAACGGCGCATGTGGCCGACCAACGCCCGGAGCAATGGCTAAACTCTGCCTCTGGCAGCTTCCCGTTAGTCCCCTTGCGAAGGTGTCGTGCCATATACCACTGGACATATTGTATACCACCCAGCGAGTCCCGCCAAGGCTCTACGGCACCGCTGTGTCGTACAGTACTGTACCCCACACCCGCGAGCTTCGCGGGAGCTTTTGTCATACGATCTCCCCCCCCAGAATCAGAGGAGCTTGTTGTCCGTCCCTTCCCCCCAGTCTCATTGCTACATATACGCGGCTGGTTAATTGAATCAATTAACCTCAGAGGACTCTGGATATATATAAGGTTTGTATTACTGTGCTGTACAGTATGTACATATGCGTCCAATACGTATCGAAAGTTTAATCCTCACTCCCACCCCCTTACAGTGCGGTTCCTATTCTCTCCTCCTTTCCCTCCCTTTCTTCCTTCCGCTGTAGGGGCGGTTAGGGGCTTTCTTGGCCATGGTTGGTTATCGTATGATACAGGTACAGTACGTTCTTATCTCTATGTTTTATTTATTAACGTGTTGGATTTGCGAGGGCTTTCCGAGGCACGTGGTGTAGTGTTCATCGTTTGCTTCTTCTTTTGCCTGTGGAGTACTGCACTGCATTGTACCTCGCGCGGAATACTTTTTTGCTACGATATCGTGTCTGGCTCAAAGTTGAGTTTTTTTTCTTTTTTCTAGGTTATGTTTGTTTGTAAATTAGCGCTGCACTGTATTGGGGTGGTATCACAAGTCTAGTGATCCGAGCAGCCACAAACTCCCGGAATAGTGTGTCAAGAAATGGTGGGGGTGATGGCGCTGAATAACATCCTTGGGATTATTATGTATGTAGTTATCACCCCTTCGTGTGGTAGAGCGTAGTACTGTACATCTTCTACCATAGGTACATTACACGCCGCAATAATCCTGCGCCATGGCAAAAAGTCTAAAAGTGGAGGGGAGATTTTGGCATCCTCTTGGTGCTGTATGTATCACTTACTCCTTGGTGCCGATGCCCCCCCGCCGTAGAGTTTTGGAATAATGATGGGGTTTTCTTATTTTTTGTCCGCGCTGTCATAAATTGGTTGTGTTTTTGTTTTGTTTCCCCCCTTTTTTCCCCCAAGAGTGCGGTTTTTGCATGCTTCAGTGGGTTTCTGCAATCGAGTGAGTGGTTATGACCTGCCCATGGGGATTTGGATTCTGTTGACGGGTGTGTATAATAATGGGGTACCGTGCTGTACTATACTCGTATTGTACGTATGATACTCATACTCGAGTGCGGAGGAAAGGTTGTTGTGCAGTTTTGCTACACGGGTACGGTATGTGTAAACATTCCAGGCCCTTGCAGCACATCTCTCTGTCTGCTTGAGATGAGATGTTTCCGGGCATCATATCCATCTATCTACTTTAGTGGTTGGTGGGGACCATTCCAGAGTGTAATAGCGGTAGCGGATAAATATGTGCCAAGTTAATTAGGTAGGACGTTGGAATTCCCTTTCTCGGTTGCATGAGGGGGGTGGGCGGGGGGGGCTTTAGAGCCGCAAAAAACCTAGCTCCGCATAGCGTCTTAACTGGGAGAGGAAAACTACGGCGTCCTAATGGGTTCATGTTCTGTTTGGGGGGTTTTTTTTTTCACGGTGACCCGAGCGTGCTTGCATGAATGAGGCTGGTCCGGAAGGGCCTTTGATCGCATCGCAAATGACCATCTCTCCCAATTTCGTCAGGTGCCGTGGTTATCAAATGGAAACAAAGTGGAGAGGGAGGGTGTGCTGCATACTTGAGTTGTACGATGTGCGGGACACATCGAGTTGGAGATTCCGATATTCTTTATCCTGGCTCTTTCGTGCCTCATTTCGAATCAAGCTGTGGCTTCTTGCAGACCATTCATGGGAGCGGCATACCCCCTCTTGGTAACCTTGAAAATATCGGCATCATGGTTCCTGGTAACTGGTCAGCTTTTCCTCTTGGCTGCTGCAAGCAGGGGGATATGTATCGTGGGGCGTTACTCGGTGATATTTTCCCCGGCACGTTAGATACGAAGCCTGAGTCTCGAAAGCATGATTGTTCGTTGAAGTGTATCATGAGCTATCACTCCTACTCTATGTGGGTACTGTGAAACCCGTGTGGGTCTTCCTATTGAAAAAGCAGGGAAACGTGGACCCTGCGTCGCTATAGAATATAGCTCGGTGTGGGAAACTCCGGGTTGGAATCCGGAAATCCCGTCCATCTTGGCTTCGAAATTCTCCAATTAGTGGCTCGCGATCCTGCGTCTCTGTCTCTGGTTGCATAAAAAATGCATGCAAGAACTATAAACGACGATATGATAGGAAAGAGTTGTAAGGCACTAGATGATTTGTCTTGGTTTTAGCATGTTGCCCTAGCCCGGTTCCAAATCCCTATTCTTCCGGGCTGCGGCATATCAGAAAAAACAAAAGGACCGGGGGGTCGTGGTTTGATCCAGCATATTATGATATCGGGACTCGCCAAACGGAGCCAAATACTACGCCCAGACGAGCGAAACCATCTGAGGGCCCGGCCGAAGCACAATTGCGAGGAGTTGAGTGCTAGGAGAGTAAAGAGAAGGATATGGCGAAGGGGAAGGGGAAGGGGATCTCCTAAAAAGCTAAACCTCCGGCTATTGGGGGAGCAATTGGAAACTCAGGGGCTCCCTCCTTCGGAATAGTGAAAACGCGGGAAAAAAACAACGCTTACGAATCGGCCTCTCAGCCTGTGCAGGATAAGTCCTTCACCAAACCCACTGCTTCACCCTGATCGCCAAACGGAAGAAGGACCTCAACCTAGTTTATTCGCCCAGCGCAGCACGAAGCCGCGCGATATATAGAGCCCAACCATCGTGCCTGGATATTCTAATTTAATATGGCGGAGCAGTCAAGTCAAGGAAGGAGGGAGGGAATCACTCGCAATCACTCGCAAATGAATTTCATATTGGCCCATCACGTAATGAATGGGGGCGGTAGCTGGTAAATGCTGATGATCTTTGTCACCCTATTTCTGGTTGATATTACGTTATAATCATATATCGTATCTCTCGGTGTTGCACCCCCATCCCGATATGGAGTCGGTCATTCCCCGTTATGCAATTACTATGGGATAATCGATATCCTTACCTACCTTTCTCTAATGATCACAAGTGCAGATCGGGTTGGGCCGCTCCCCACCATCGGATAAGGGTTTTCTCAGGGGACTGTTTGCCATCAGTCCTACAAATTGGGTCATTTCCCCTACCCCCCCCTTCCTTCCTCATTCCCGACACTCCAACCACCTGTGCAAAACAAACCTCTCCTGAGAATACAGTTCTCGCAGTCGTCCACCGTCCACATTGGCCATCCTATGCATCACGGCATAGGTATGATACCGGGTTTCAGACAGCAGGCACAGGAAACAAGCCAACATCAACCAGGGCCGTAAGTTTGCTTGTATCGAACACTGCCGGTAACGTGACCTAATTTCCTCGAACCTTTCAGATTCACTCACTCGCTACCGCCCCTAGTAAGCTCGTTTAGCCACATTGTTTCCAACATGTGCTCGGATATTAGGGCTCGTTCGTGGGCATTCCCAACGGATGATCGTTTCTGATATGCAGCTCACCACATTGATTGCAAAGAGAAGAAATTCCGTGAGCAAATTCGCCGTTTCCTATTTGCCAGAAATGGTCTCCGGGGCGGTTTGACCAATAGTACATAGTTCTTTCATACCAAACTTACGTCGGATTCAGCAGTCCGGCGTATTTATGTCGCCGCTGATGCGCGACACCCCCACATGTCTTGCAACACAATACACCAAGTTAATAGCAGCAGCTAATCCGGGAAATTACAAAATCATACTCCCCCGCTCAAGTTGGAACACCAATAGGCACCATTTAATAAGGAGAGCGGGGGTAAGCACACCAGGATTGGGTCTTTTTTTTTTATCCGGCGGAATCCGACGAATTTTATTGATGCAAACTGCAAAAGCAAATCAGAAAATAGACTGCTAAGGGATCTCCAAGGATATCACTTTTCAGATTTTTAGGCTCAACTTGGATGGAGCAGTGATCGATGCTTTCTTTGACGGCCTGCGGTACCTGCCAAGACAAGGGTCCCTGTGTGCAAAATATGATATACGTTGCGATCGGCGCTGATTGCTCGGGGCGGCTCTCGTTTCTGTATGGAGCAGATCAAGATCGGCAAAAATTGGACTGTGCATATCGGACATCTGGCTATTCTCCAGGGATAGTCTAGAGCTTCCCCTTTGCTCTATCGCTGTGCCTACCGTAGGAGACAGGCGGGGTAAAGTCTTGGTCCGAAACTCTGGCAATTCCCTACCAATTAGGGAAGGATCCTCTCTAGATCTCGCTATTCCCATAAATAGGATCTCTCAGGCGCAGCACACGAAGAACTAAGGGATAGGCCCGGGTGCCCTATAGGGTGCAGCGCTTGTGGACTCCGCCAATTACCTGCTAGAACCCACGATCTTATCCCTACCCTTGAACGTCACTATCCAACCCGGCAGCGCCCGCCCTCCGACCCAGAGGGGACGGCCCTGAGATATCGTCGCCCTAGACTGACCGTGAGAGACCGTACAACCCCGTCCCGGATTCTTGGCATTCCTCCGTTGGGAGGTTGAAAACTGTCGTTAGTTAAACGATCCTGGAGAGCGAGATCTGGCCAAAAAACAAACCGCCTCACAGAATTAGGCCATGTTCACCTAGGGCACTAGAGTCCCATTGGGAGTAAAAACCGGCTGGTTGCAAAAGAGTACGGCTGTTGTCAAAAATAAACCATCGGACTGGTATGGTATCCCAAACTATGATTCGGGAAGGTTCTTAGGATAATGGAGCCTATCAAAACCTGTCGAAAGTCACATTTTAGACACCAGAATATTTGAGGAGAGCATCCCCCAATAAAAACGCTTGCATTATCTTCCACCTCGCAATTTCTGTGATCCGAAGCCCAACCACTAACCCAAACTCTCCCTTCCCCCATGTATCTTGAAAAAGGTTTAACCAGCAACCCCTTTCCAAAGAAGAAACCTTTCACCCGCAATTTGAATTCGTTCCCTGTCCAATCCCTTAGCCACCCCTTAAAAGTCCAGGGAAGCGTAGACTAACCTCCCGCTGCCCTGAGAATAGCACGCTCTCCAACTGTGCAACAGGTAGAGAGCACAGAGCGATGCCATAAAACCCACCTCAGTCGTAAAGAATGGGGCAAACCATCACAAAAACAGGGTTCGACCCTTCGCGCAAACAGAGACCCCCCGGAGAGCCATCACTTCATATCACTCGGCCCCGGTCCCAGGATCAAGTTGAGCCGAAGCAGCTCCATCACGGATGAAGACAGACCGGGCCTGAATGAATGGAAGTGAGTGTATGATAAAATACGGCAAGTACCCCGCTTGCGCATGTAACATAAAACCCCGAATGGGCACGTAATGGGAGCCCCCCGCACCACCCAGGTGAGCAAACCACAACACCCACCGAGGAAACGACGATATTATCACTACGACACGGCACTATACAAGACGCCATTTCCCACCATCACGCAGGCTATCCATACATATATATATGTTGAGAGGCTAAGTTAGCAGCACCCAGAAATGGAGGTAATGATAACATCGTGTGTGAGACTCATACAAAACCACTGTGGGATTAATCAAGGCAGTATTATCTATCGGTGAGCTTCGTAATTGATCGGGCTCCTTTCCTGGAAGGGTGGTTCTGAACGATCTTTCTGTAACCTCGCGCGAGTGCTGACAATCAACTTGGGGGTTTGTTTCGCTTAACTTATATGGAAAACCAACGTGAGATTCGAGGCATGATATGATGGAACATCTTTTGCCCACTCCAAGTGCTCTTGATATTTTGCTCCCGAAATGTATCGGTGGGGATTGGATTTATGGATATATATGCGTATATATAATATTATATATATAATATTGTCGTCGGAACAAATCCTACAATACGAGCCCAAAAGATTTAACATGGGGGGTTAACCTCTTTTTTGCACCGAGATCGTACATCCCCCTAGTAGGCGGTCAAAGTTCCGCGGGCCAGCACGGTAGGCTAAGCATGGTAAGATTACTGCAGGATCAGGCACCCACTAGCGCCTCAGCCGCGGAGTGATGGGGGTACAGTCACCGCCGCATAAAGCCCGTTGATTTTCGGGGATAAAAAAATCATGATTCAACTTCCAGTCGCTAAAAGGCACCCATCCCACCCGTGCGCAAACGCAATCACCCAATCCAAGCAAACATTCAATCCATTCATCCATCAATCCATCCCCTTGCAAGAAGGCTCATTTAACCCCATAATCCGACGCCTAAACGAAGATATAGTCCCTCCCCCTTTTTTTGCCTCATCCCTTCACCCCCTAAGCACTCGATGCAGTCCCATACACCGTCCCCTGCACCCTCTCCGAGTAAATCCCGGGAGCCCTCTCACTGGCCATACGCCCCGCCACCGCCTGTTCTTTACGTTCGTAGTAGACGTATTCGATGTAGAACGCATGCAACTATTCATCATCAATACCTGCATACCTAGAGCTCGTTGGAACTTACGTGTCCAGGAAGATAGCCCAGAATGGTCAGGCAGATGTTTATAAGAAGGTCGGCACCGCACCCTGCGACGGCAAAGACTCCGAGGGGCGGGAACTGGTCGGGTTAGCCAGCCCCTCACTAGTAGAGGGGGAAGAGGGGAGAAGGGGGGTGGGGACGAACGATGATGGTGATCACGATCAAGAGAATGACGGAAAAGAGGCCCATTTTGAAACTTTGCGGGAGAAGGGAGGAGGGTTCGGTCGCTGGTCCGAGATGATGGGTGTAGTGGGTAGTGGAGAAAGAACCACGAGCACAGAAAGGGGTTTTATGGTAGATTTACGGAGGGAAAATAACTCCTTTGTTCGTCAGGGGTTGCGGAGGTGGACGGCTTGGGTAGTTCGTCAGCGGAATGAGGTGGTGGGTACGATAGCTGACTACTGTACGAGTACAGTACATTACCTGTACTAGGAGGTGACGTCATGGTTTGTGTTCTCGTGCTGCTTACCATACCAGACCCGCCAATCAGAAGTCCGGAATCCCTTGCCCACATTTTCCCATGTCTTCCTTTCCCCGGACATTTAAGTTACTCGTAGTAAATTACGGATATGGTAAGGAGAAGCATGGCTTATCTCAGTCTGCTCGGTACGAGTACTGTACCGTACTCGCACAGTAAGTCAATTCACTGTGCCGTATGCGATCATGGAACGCCAAGAACCGAGGTTTTAAGCCCGGATTCGAGGATCTTGGCGCCTGTATTTCCCGATACTCCACGGCCCGGCGAGCTTAGACTATCTGTGTTCGAGTATCATGGCCCCGTAGAGGGAGTTAATCCACGCCTGAGAGACGGCTCGGCTTTTGTTCGAATATCGCCTCGACCCATCCCAGCGCTGCACGGGATGCCCTTGAATACGCCACATCCCAGCAGCAACATCTGCCCAAATTGGAGATATGAGAGTCAATGTCTCGGAAGATTCTGAGGTATGTCTCTGAGTGTTCAAAGCTGTCGTGGCTCTACGAATAACTTGGAAGGTAATTGGTCAGGACTGTGAAGAGCGATGGCTCGGGGGTCCAGAACGAGAACACGTGAAGGGCATCTCCCGGTGTGTTGCGTCCTCTGGCATGCCACAGCCCGTAAATATATCAAAACCCTTATAATGACTGCATGCACGGTATGCGCTGCACTGGGAAAGAAACCCAAAACGGCAGCAGCTCGAGTGAGCTTCTGTGATCCTCTCGAATACAGATATATCACTATCCCAGGCAAGAGTAGGGCCACATCCCAGCCTTCAACTCAAACTCAACTGTTGGTGCCACTTCAAGTATTTTCCTTCCAAGGCCCGGCCAGAAGGGCTAGCCCACAGTGTGCTGCTCTCACGTCTTCATTCTAGCCTTCCGTGTTATATAGCGCCAGCGGAACGGGAGGGAGAGGAATCGGCTATCCTCGCGATCGAGCATCATCCTTTCTGCTCTGCTGTAGTTTTATGCCAAACGAACAGGTCGGGCGTGATCCACCAATGCTGCACTCCTACGACGCCCTCCCATACGCGCCATATGCGTTCATATGTACTAGCGCACATGTGTTTTCGGTAGCCCTTTGGTCCTTGATACGTCTGTGATTACGTCTACACCCCGGGGGTGGAAGGGGCAAACAAAGGAGAAGATGCTTATAGACGCCCAACGCCTTTTTATATATCCACTTCAACTTGGAGTAGCCTGACCTCCCCCTTTTCGATATATCATACATTTTTCTCCCTTCCTCTCCCCCGCCACATCCCGCGAATCTCCGAAGCCATACCGATACATCTAAACGACTCCACCATGTTCAGCTCTCAGGGGGCATGTCCTGACTGCCGCACGGCTCGGACACCGGACGACGATAAGGAGCAGGCATTGGTCACCAGCAAAGCTCTTGTTCATAATTTCCAAACACTCGCAATTCTCCTAGATTCTGTCAGTAGGTGTGTTTCCGGATTCCTTCCGCCTCACCCCTCTTTACCACACGCTAATACCGCCGCCACTTCCAGTGCAGGGCAAACGGAAATCCTCACCGCAAACATTAGGGATTCCCTGGGAGCCTCCTTTTCCTCATGTCTACTAAAGGGTGGAGGCGGTTCGCAGTTGCCTCAGGAACTAGTGCAGAAGACGATCGGAGTATTGGATCAATTTCACAAGCTCAGTTCCGGGCCCCCAAAGTGTCCAACAATCCCACAGAAGCGAGGGGCTGCCATCAATGGGGAGAATTGCAAGCCGTCTCACCATCCACTGGAAGAATGGAGCCTCCTGGAAAAGAGAACTACGACGGAATTTTATTACCTAGCAAGTATGCAGGCTTTGGAACAATTGAAAGACTTCGAGTCCGGGAATAATAGGTTTGCTGCATACCCTGCTCTGCTTGTTGCTTTAGTGATGACTAACTCTCATTAGACACAAAGAGAGAGACAAATATCCCTTGATCGCACAGTTCAAGAACCTGGTTTCTTGCGCAGATACTTCCGGCCTCCTGGAGGAAATGGTCAGGCGGATACTCTCTGACCCTAAATATAGGGGCACTCCAAACGGAGAACGGGAATCGCGGCCCGTTCAGGAGAGCACGGCTCTCGGCTTTACAAGGTCTGCATTAGAGGAAGCTCCGATACCCCCCAAGACTCCACATATATCCCCGAGGCAAGGAGCCGAACAATTGAGCTCTAATGGACACAGAGATATTGGCCTTCACGAACCTTATCACCCTCTCGGTCCACTACTTCCTCCAAGACTAGTCGTTTCCGAGGACTTCCAAACACACTGGAAGCCGGAGGGAGCCGATGCTCCTAGCAATTTCGGCACATCTAGCGTTTTCGGCATTACCGTAGGGAAGCAAAAAGCTCCCCACGACGCCGTAGATGTAATTCCGAAGGGTACTGAACCCGCCCAACCCCATTCCGGCTTAATTTTCAAGACTTTCGCAGCCGTCAACCTAACGTCCTTTACCGACCTTTACAAACCAGTCGTAGGTCTCACTTGGCATCCTTAAGGGAATGTCTACTGACACTTTGCATAGCTATTGGACTATTTTCCAATCAGAGATATCCCAAAGGAGCACTCTCCTGTTCTTATCGTTGATTCTGCAGCTACCCCACTTACGTTCACAACTTTCTGGCGCAACCTTAATACAACGGAGGCCTCCAAGATATTCCGGTGGATGAATGTGTACCGGGCCACCGCCTTGGACATCGCGAATTCCTTTAAGAAGGATCTTTTCTCCTATGACGATTTTGTCATGCCCCAAGGTGGCTCTTGGATACCGTTTCGCTATCCTCGGGTTAGATTTATCCGAGACATGCACGCAAACTTTAAGCAGATGTACAGCGAATCCCCGTGGAGCGGGGCGGAGACCATAAGGTTCTTGAATACTTGCGGGACGTGCCGCAGTCTAACCACTGACTCTTTCTCAAAGCCCAGAAATATATTTGATAACAGTGGGAGAGCATTATTACTTTTTGCGATAAGATTTGATGGCATAAACGTTGTCTTCCAAGACTCTCTCCGCCAGATTGTGGTCCCTGCCAGCCAGACCTACACATCTCCTGGCAAAACGCTAATCATCACCCCCGTACTTCATGACCCCCATCAGTCCTTCGACGATCTCTCCGCAAAAACTACCTTTGAAGTATCCTCCCAGTTTAGTTGGCTGAGCTGGGACCAAGTCCTTCAAAGCTTTCTAGGAATTGTCCCAGAATCGCTACTCACGGAGGCCCATACTAAAGCAATCTCCCAGCTCCAGGGTCTCTTCATTGCCAACATACCTATTATTGCGAGAACTGTAGTAGCTTTCTCCAGAGGTGTTCAATATGAAACGAGGGTAAGGGCACAAGTCAAGCTCCGGATTTCTAAAAACCTGTCGGTGCAGGATATTCGCATCTGGGAAGAACAAAGAACCAAATATTTGTCAACCATAGGACCCATTTCTAGGCCAACAAGCTCTAGTACTGCTCCCGACTCTACCCGAGGTGGAAAAAAGCCCCTCCCCGAAGCAGAACACGAACGATGCGTTGAGTGTGATGAATTTTACAATTCTCCAGGGGTATCCGAAGCTCAGGCAGCAGAAGATCAACCAAGTCCAGGAGATAGTATTTTAGTCTTCTTATGGGGGCAGGGGTTTAGCGAATGGATGAATATTGTTTTTCTGGCGGTCCCGCAGGTAGGAAGTGCGAAGTATCACAGAGTCTCGAATCCCGACAGCAACCCCTTAAGCTCCAAGAATATCGAACTAAATGCGGGCGGGGGCTCGCGCTGCCCTCTGATGGATAGAGTCGTGAGTTTCCCCCCGTTAATATCCCAATCCAGTACCACATGTTAACACAGATCAGGAGAATCAAATGTTTCGGATCGGAGTGGAACTAGAGATATGGGCAAACCACGGCACTCATTCACGACTCCATCGCGAAATTTGCAACAACCTGGAGGCGTCCACTGGGGCCATTGGATTATTTTACGAGAGCGATATAAAATTCATACCGAGTTTCACTGCTGTTGGTCCAATCGATACATTGGATGGAGAAATCATAAACTCCGCTAGAGGAAGCCGACCGAGAGACACCTTGTCTAAATCCAGCACGTCTTGGACCAAAGCGATCTTACAAAAGGTACTAGAGCAGCTAGCGTGCTTCAGATACGACTTTAATGAAACGATCAAGATCAATATCCATATCGGGATTGAAGCATTCTCGGGCTATGAACTCAGGGAAGTCAAGACGATAGCCAAAGCCATTATTTTGTTTGGTGGTCTGCTCAATGGCATTGGGCTCAGGCCTAGTCCGGGTCATCACAAATGCTGCCTCGATACCGCCGTGAGGGTCCGCTCTAACGTGAAGCACATTCAGGCCATAGACGAAGCATCTTCCACCGAAGACGTTGCGAAGCTCATGAACTCCCTAGAGGCATCGGGTTATACATATCATGGCGAACCAGGTCCAGAAAACCAACGTTATGACTTCAGTTGCGTTGAAAGTCAAGCGGTAATAATTTGGATCCAGATTTTCCCCAAATTTGACGCGAAGGATGTAATCGATTGGATATCAATGATATTGCTCTTTAACAGGACGGCGATCTCTGTGGATTCCTCCTTGTATGCCGATCTGTCCGGAAAGCCCATTACGTTGGCTAGTTTGAACGGATTTATTGCAAAGGGCTAAGGCGGGGAGTGTTCATTTGTCCAAGGGTCTGCATCCAGCTTTATCTTGTCTTAGACATTGGGGGTTGGGGGCATCAAAATGGTAGATGTTTCCGTCCGTCTTTCCTTTCTATGCTTTTCAGAATCGTGGGTGTCTGATGAGAGGGGACGTTTGATACTATTATCCGGGTTTCCTGAATATTCCAGGTGTTAGCTTATATTAGCTAGAAGCGTGATTGACGCTTTATTTTGCCTTAGGTTTAGAAGGACGGAAAATGAAATAAAGTCTTGAATTTTAACAAGCCAACGCGAGATGCCAGTATACGCGATGACTAGTTATAATTGGATTGAATCTCCAGAAAAATCTGAACCAGAAACTACCACGAGCGGCGCCCAGTACGATTGTACATAACAAGCAAGTAACCATGGATGCTATGCGAACAGGCTGTACTTTATTTGGGCTATACTACGGTGCCATACCACCACCTATGCTACCACCTATGCTACCACATATACCATCACCTATACCATCACCCATACCATCACCACCACCACCTATACTAACAGCATGAACAGAACGTAGACTATAAAATGAAAAAATCCCAATCAAGCAAGCGACCCACCGGTACCGATAAAAATAGCAGAAGAGAAAAAAGAAAAAAAAAATGAAGAAAAAGCTAAATACCATTAACCATTTGAGGTTGGAAAGAAAAAAGAAAAAAGAAAAGTCATCAAAGGAATTAAAAAGAGAAAATAAAAAATAGAAATAAGGGAGGATGAGGGAAAAACACAAATAAACCCCTAAAGTACAAGAATGTGAAAAAAAGGTAAAGAAAAAAAAACCCATAGTCCAACCTGCAATAACGAAAACCAGCAGGCAGGCAAACAGAAACTAGAAAAAATCCACCCTTCAAAATTATAAATGCCCACCACAGGAGGACCAATCTACGCTAACTAAGACGCCAAGAATTGGTCCGCCAACTTCTCATCCAGCGCCTCTCCAGCCGTGTTCAACGCCTCTGCCGCCAGTGTTTCGTAACTGACCCCGCCACTAGTCTCGTCCTTCGAGTAAAGATCCGACGAGTCCTCAGCCAGAGAGAACATTGGATTGGTGCTGCTATACTGCGGACTTCCGGGTCCACCTCCAACACCCCCAGAGCCGAGTCCATTGTGATCACCAGAGAATGCCGAAGGGTTGAAGAGTGCTGGATCAAGGGTTGGGCCGCGACCAGGGTTGTTCATGAGAACTGGGGATCCCAGGCGTTGGTGCTGTGAGGAGGACGACGAGGCGCCGTTTCCAGAACTTGAGCTCGAGGAGGCATGGGCAAGAGTGAAAGTTGGCGAAGACTGCGCCGATGGGCCAGTGCTGCCAAAGCGGGGGTAGTCGAATTGAGGCTGGGACGGAGGGGGTTGGGAGGAAGAGTGGCCGAGGAGGGAATGGGTTTGGCTAGTCGGGGTTACTGGGGAGGAGGAGGCCATTGAGCCTTTCGATGGGGCGGGCTTGATTGGTGGTGGAGGCTTGCCATTGGCTTCCGAGGGCTTCTTCTTGGAAAAGGAGTGCGCCTTTGTTCGGAGTTGAGGCGGGAGGTCGTCCGGGTTAGTGATGCCCATAGATGCCATTAGCTTTTGCTGCTTTGTTGGGCGGGGCTTGCGGGTCGACATGGAGACTTCGACAACTGGGGGTGGCTCGGGGGCGATGGGCATCCACTTGTGCAGCTCTGTCCGGAAGAAGTTTGTTTCTTGCGAGAGAAGGATTTCGGCACCTTCAATCTTTCGGAGATAGAATCGCATAGTTGGCACCTCCGCACCCGTAAGGCCAATTGGGGCCGTAAACGGACGAACCCAATCCCGAAACCTAGTGGCCGCATCGATAATTCGGTGAAGACAATCCAACTCATCCGGGATGAAGGGAAGGTTTTCAATCTCTGCTTGCCAATCGATAAGCTCTTCAAGCTTCGGTCGGGCCGCATCACGTGGTATCTTGACCCGGTAATCGCAGATCGGACAAGTATACTTCTCATCTTCCTTAACCTTACCCCTGGCGATCTTAAGACACTTGCCGTGGTACCTAATCAAAGTCAGTAAAGCAAAAACACTCCGAAGAGAATGCAAACCTCACCATTCATGGCAAACCTCACACTCAATCATCATGCCAGCCTCTGGCTGTCTACATATGCAGAAGACTTCCCTCGGCCTACCACCCCTCGACCCCTCGCCAAACGGTCCATTACTCTTAGAATCCGGACTCGGCTCCCTACTGGATGGCTCGACTGGAGTTCGTGGTCTATCATCCAAGCAAAAACAGTGCCTATTACGACCCTCCACATACGCCATATGTTGTGCAAGAATATGGAGGGGCGCATTAGCCTTCCCAAACAGTTTCTTCCCCCGCCTCATCCAATCCTCATGGCGCTTCTGCTCCTTTTCTAAGTCAATTGTACCCGTCGGTTTGCTGTGTAACTCTGTTAGCCCATCTAGCACATCCCGAACCTCTTTATACTTCGGCCTCTTGTGAAAATCCGCCTCCTTGCTCTTTTCATACAACGCCACAATCTGGCGATGAGCCTCCCGTTGCTTGTTTAGAATTTGGTCGACTTGTGCGAGCGTCTCGCGAGAGACAGGTAACGTGGACGCCTGGCCAGAAAGCGCCTCCAACTGCTGAAAATGTACAACCTCAACACTCATCAATTCCTTCGCCTTTTTTTCCCACATATCGCCAGCCTCTTTTTGGCTTCGGAAGTGCATCATTTGCTCGTTGCTGTCGGGGATCCCTAATTCCTGGCCTGACTTGATCAGTTCCGCCACCTCGGTGAGGGACAAAAACCTTGCCCTAGCATCTCTAGCAGAGTCGGCCCACTTTAACTGTCGCACAATCTTCTCCAGTAAATCGGTCTCCGCAAGATCCACATTGAAGTTCTTTCCGGTTTCCACCAACTCCTCATACATCGGCGTGGATAGAGTCCCAGGGGTCGCTAGGGCTTTCCTCGCACGTAGCTGAAAATCCCGGATAAGGTCGGCACGTTCGCGTAGCTGCTCAATCTCAGTGCATTCGAATCCGATCTCCTCAGCTCTCTCCAGAAGCTTGAGGATACTATCAAGTTTCCTGTGCTCGCGCTCCTTCTCCTCCATCTCAGCAACCTTTGAGCCCATCCTCCTCCATGCCTTCTCATTTTTTCTCCGGTTTTGCTGCTTGCGAGATATGAAAGGGGTCGCTTCATCGACCCACTCCTGAGCACGTTCCACAAATGCCTTGAGCGGCGCCAACTCAGGGATGTAGCATGGAATTCGCTCGCCCTCGGATAAAAGGGACTTTAGCACTTTAAGCGCCGGTCGCGAACTTTCCGCAATAGATTTTTCGAGCTTGACCGCCCACGCCCTCGGCATATTTGCTTTGTCATGCACCCTCTGAACCAATTCCTCGAGATTCTCATCCGTCATCCGAAGTCGTAGAGTAAGCCTTGTAACCTCGCAGTCGCAGATGTCGCGGAAATGTGATGGACACGTAACGTTAGGAGTGCAAGGGCAAGTGATCTGTGAGAGATAACAGTAAACCTTGCAAACCCCGCACTGATATTGGTCCTCGCTCAACTCTTCATCCTCAGGCAGTATCGCCTGCTTGACATCGGGCAAGTGCTCGAGCAATCCACGACGTGCCTGGAGTTCCCTGTCTCGCACACGGGCAAGAGCGGGAGCAAGCCTGTGAAAATATCAGCTAGCCCAAACGCGGAACAACAAATCAATCAACATACCATTGTGAAGTCTTGATGGTAGTATCTCTAGCCGCGGCCGTGAGAAGCAATTCATCATGCGAGAAAACAGGGGCCTTCCTGAATTCTAGATATCTTTCAACTCCAGCCTGTCCAAACGGCTCCCAATCCGAGGGAGCAAAATTAACGGCTTCATTAAAATTGAACTATACCCAATCAAGTCAGTCCAAATCAAAATATGCAAAATCAGCCACTTAGCAAGGAACTCACGCCATGATTAAACCCTGCATGATAGGCCTGCGGGAATGTAACCACGAATTGTCCCGCCCTCTGATCCAATGCATAAACTTTGACCCCGGCCTTCATAAGGTGCTGCGGGGTTAGTAAGGTTACCAACTGGAACAACAAATCGGGCTGCTGCTCAAATAATTCCGGCACGGCTTCCCTCATAGCATCCTCAAACTTCATTGCATCGCTCCCAGGAATACCATACCACGTTTTAGTAGCCCCAAAATGCTGATAATTGGCGGAATAGGTGTAATGGTCCTCGTTATGCCAGCAGAACGTCGAAAAACACATCCCGACGTAGAGCCAAGGCACAGTCATCCCGGAAACATCAGATTTAATGTGCCGAAACAAGGATTCAGGATGCAGAGGCAGATTATTGAGATTCCAAGGATCCGTCGCGTAAGGGTACGTCGGCTGTTTCTCTATGGTCGGGAAGCCGCTTCCGTGAGTGGTCGAATGGATATCTGCACCATACTCCACCTCTACAGTCTCGTGAACACTCTCCACCAACTTCCAAAACTCCCTCTCAACATCATCCTCGGTGACCTGTCGCGGCTTATTCAAGACCGGGTCAAAAGGCATTTTCGATTGAAAATACAAATCTTTGAAATTGTTGGCCTTCTCTTGAAATTGCCTCAGAGAGTAAATTTCGCCATCGGCAAACCCATAGTCGCCAGTTCCGACAAGGCATCTATCGCAATACCAATCCCGGTCGGGGACGCTCTTGAGTGCTGGTTCAAGACAAAATGTGTGGTAGCCGTGGTCGCAGCTCTCACAGAGCAATAGATTGGCCATATCATCACCACGACCACATTTTTCGCATTTCTGCGGGATGAATGGTCAGAACACAGGAGCGAAAAACATCAAACAAATGAAAATACCTCTCCCGGTTTACTATTGTTTCGGTCCCCACCCAAAGTTCTTGGTGTAGAAGAAGGCCTGTGCAAAGTCATGTGCGACCCAGCAACCATAGGTGCAGGCTCTGGAAGTCGATCAGCCAACGATCTCGGTTAAGTGCAACCACACCCGTTGTCGAAAAATCAACCAAGAAAAAAAGAGAGAACAGGACAAATGAAAATTTACACAACATACCCTTTTTAAGTCGCTTGCTTCTTCGTTCGCCATTTTCTGACTCATCGACAGCGGCCTCTTTGGACTGCTCCTTAATATCAACACCAGAGCCACCCTCCTGGCTATGACCCCGCTTAAGGATTGTGGCGGCCCTCAGCTCAGGAGTACTCCTCTTACTGGATGTAGCTCCATTCTCACTTCTCCGTGAATTGGCATCAAGCTCTCTCTTCATACCATTGGACACATTTACCGAGGTAAATCCACCGGCTCCGGTATTGACTGGAGTGAATCCACTCCCCGGGTTTACAGCTGTAAAACCACCATTTACCGCGGGTGTAGATCCGCGAATTGGAGTTGCATCAGCCATATCTGTATCAGACTTATCTGGGGTCCCCACTACTGAGGCGTTGAGCGCGGTGGAAGCTCTTATTGCTGGCGAATCAGGTAGACTACTCAGCGGAGACATTGCCGGTTTATCTGCAGGCAGCTTTTTCAAAGGGGATCCAGAAGGTGTTATGGGACCTCCCTGCTCCGCTTCAATCTGCTGCTGCACACCAGGCTTCGCAGACTTGACCCATTCTTCGTAGGGATGTAGATAGCGCTGGTACGAGTTCTTGAGAGAGGTAGATAAACTAGACATAATTTTTCCTGAATATCCCAGATCTCTACCAATCTCGGCCCATTTCTTGTGCTTGCAAACATTGCTGAATCCGCCCCTAATTTCAACGGCTTTCTTCAACCGATAGAGGTCTAATGGACGTTTATCGACCGACGGGAATCGGTTCAAATTCGTGCCATGCTGCTTGTGATATTTGGACAACTGATCCAAATAATTCAAATTCGCCCTAGTGCCTAGATATCACGAGAGAAATTGAAAGATTATCATATCAGCCATCACGACGAGTAAAGGGGGGAGGAAGAAAAGAAAAAGTAATGGTGACTGCCGATATAACCGAAACAATTACTTGGGTGAAGAGAGCTAGAATTACCTCCTTCAACCGAGTTGAGCTCTTGCCGTCTTGTTCGGAAGTGGAAACGCTACACATAAAATTTTAGCAAATCCATCCCCTATCATCCAACGAATTGAAAGAATAAATTATTATATGAGACGGCGAGCAAGAGGAAAGAAAAGGTGGGTGAAGGATGCTCGACACCAAGCGCGGTAGCGAAGGGGGGTGGTTTATTGTAAAAACGTCCAAAACACCAACGAGTGAACGAGAGGCCCAACAAACCTCGGTATCAACTGCAAATTCCGGATTCCATGAATCTGGTGGAATGATCTTGATAATCCCGTACTTCTTCCCTTCCTCTGCAATACTCTTTATGTACTCGAAAGGGTCCTTGAACTGCTCCGGTGTGGGTCTGTAGGTCGGGGCCTCCTGAAGTCCATGAGGTCTTATCCTCTTGGGGTTCTCCTTTGATGACGAACTCCTCCTCTCCACAGTCGACATATCCAAAGGCTGTGCCTTCCGAGAGCTCAAAGGAGCGGATTGATATCCACCGGGGCCCGGAAGATTACTAGGGGTACCTCCTCCTCCTCCTCCGTGGCCTCCACCTCCCTTCATTCTTGTCGATGGGGCGCGAGGGGACGGCCTAGCAGAGGATGCTGCCGCTGAGGATGCTGACGAGGCAGCAGCCGGCATTCTATGCAGAGTCGATTTAAAAAAAAAAGTCGTTTAGGTGTAATTGCGAGTCCCCGGTCAGTGATGAATACGTATTGGGATGCTGGAGAGCTGTCGGGCCGAAGGGCCTATTCCGATAGACGTCGGGAGCTGTAAATTACTGTTGGCGTAATACGTCGCAGTGGCTCCTGCCAGTCCACATTCCAGTGCTACCTGGAAAATTTCCTCGACCACCTTTCACTTATCTTCTCTCTGTAATGCCGCGTTAGTGGTTGATAATGAGTGGTGACAGTTGGTGTGAGTGGGGAACGGGAGAACAGTTGAAGAGGACAAATGGTGGTGGTGGTTATGTAGGTTGGTGGTGGTAGTGGTGGTGGTGGTGGTGGTGGTGGTGGAGTTGGTTGTGGGAAAGAGGGAATGAGAAGAGAAGAAAATACTAGGGGAGGGTTCTCCGTCCACGGATCATATGTGTGGCTGCTGTCGTGTGTGTGGGTGGGTGTGAAGGGGGGAGGATGGCAAGGGAAGGGGGGGTGAGGGGAGGGCCGGGATTTGAAGGGCGAGAAAGAAAGCGTAAAAGCGGGAGGAGCGAGTGAACGGTTGCGTGTGAGTGAGTGAGAACGTGCGAATGCGAAGATCAGATATATCGGATCGGACTAAGCAGGTTGACAGCCGCCGCCGTTCACGCAATGGGGGGGGAGGGTTCGAGAACGGATTTCCTATGAGACAGTGTGGGGGATGAAGGAAGGGACAAGGGAAATGGAGGACACAGAAATTGTAGGGGGAAAGGGAAAGGAGAGAAGGCTATTCTACCAGTATTGATTGTACGGGTGTCGTGCGATAGGGGAGCAACGGCGGCGGAGGACGGGCAGGCGGGCAGCGGTTGCGGTTGTGGTGCTATTAGTAGAGTGGAGGAAGGGAGGAAGGGAGCGAGGGATGAAGAGGGAAGGAGGGAGGGGGGAGGGGGGGCAGAGAAGTGAATGGGATGTACCGAACGAACAGTGCAGTGCGGTACGGACTTGGTTATACTGCAATAATTTCTAGGAGTATATACTTGAATGGGACGGGTGAAGAGGGAATTGGGTGAGGCGAGATGAATTGCCAGTACGGTGCGATACGAAGGCTACAGAACGAGTACTTTTCCCACGGTGAGGCAAACCCTGCTGGATTGAGAGTTATGAAGTGTGTGAGAAAGCGAGGAGTACAGGCGGTGTTAGTTGAGTGAGATATGGCGCGCGCTGAAGCGGGCTGCACTATCCGATGTCGCTGCTTCCCTGTTCGTTCCTGTGTCCTCTCACACACTCCACTCCCTTTGTTCCCCTCAACCCTCACCTCTTCAGAGCACTTGTACGACTTCCACCCTTCCACTCCCCTCACCCTCTCTTCACTAGCAATGGCGGGAGACAGAACGGACACACCCAGGAACACACCAGGGAAACTTGCAGAGGGTTGCAAACGTCAAGCCGAGGCGTACCTGGGAGATGGGTGGATTGATGGAATGGGAGAAGGAAGGAAAACTTTTTACGCATACAGGCCAACAATCAAAGTCCAGCGCACTATCTGCGCAATGGATGAATGAATGAATGAACGAACGAACAATGATGATGATGATGATACTAACGAAAATAGAGCATGAGGGAAACGCAAAGCCTGATCAACGACGCACGTAAAAAATAAAAAAGAAAGAAAGAAAGGAAGGGAAGAAAGAGGGAAGGATGGAAAAAGAAAAAAGAAAAAAGAAAAAAAGGTCACACAGAGAGAGGCAAAGAGGAGAGAGAGGTAGATAGGGAGAG